GTGACTGGTCGGGCTTTTGCTTCGAACCCAAATATGTTCTTATTCAAGTAGTAAGGTTTAGGTCTCTTAAGGTATTGAGAAAAAAGAGCACTCTGACTGAGATAGGCGATCAGCGTTCAGTTTACATTCAGTTTTTTTTTTCATTTCCAGTAAATAATAAATTCCTTTTTTTCAAAAAAAAAAATTCTTCTTTTGGTTCAATTCACCCTTACTCTATCAACAACAGCTACATAAATGAGTGTCAGCAATTCAAAAGTGCTAGCTAAGTACATGTCTAATATAGAGCTCAAGCAGTTTGTATTCTAAATCTGGCCAGGCACCTCTCTAATTACCATAACCTGGAAGGAAAATTTAAATGGGCATTTCATTACAAAATTAGACAGGTAGCCATGTAAAAACAAGTCAATATTATACTATTTCACAAGTCATATCAGCTGAAAAAGATTGATAAGTGCATATCAATACTATCAATAGGTAAAAAAACAATGACTTGCTAAGGCAAAATAAGAGGAAAAGGAAAACAAATCCGTTGGGCTCAAAATATTACCGGTGAACGAGCGGCGGATTACACTCGTGATGCAAATACGAAAGCCCCTCAGCAGCCCCAATCGCAATCTTCATCCTCGTGATCCAATCCAACGACTGCAGATTCCCGTCTGGGCCCACCTTCCGAAACAGACAGCTCGACAAATCCCCATTTGGCATATACCTGTACACCAAAAACTTCTCTTCTTCCTTCTCCAAACAATGCCCCAACAAAGGCACAAATCTCGAAGAATGCGAGACCTTACTGAAAAAATCCAACTCCTTCTTAACAAACGAGCTCGAGTCGAACTTCTTCACCACCACAGGGACCCCACCTTCGAGCACCCCACGGTACAAATCCCCCGAGCGACCTTTTTTCAATAAGGTCGACTCATTTAATTCTCCAGTTGCTTCTAGAATCTTCTCGTACGAGAATGAATCCAGCGAGGCAGCTTCGGTCCCTTGGAGAGGTGGTGGTGGTGGTGTGGGCCCCACCATGCTGACGTGGCTGCCACCGCCGCCCCTCGGGCTCGTGTGGGCCCGCCTCTTTCTCTTGCACACGATGATAATGAGTAAAGCGAGCCCGATTATAATAAGCCCAATGCCTCCGAATATGGAAGCTAATAATATAATGACCAATCTTCTTCGGCTTCTTCTGCTCGGACGAGAAGAAGGTGGAGAATGAGATACATTTGGCTGTTGTCCGAAATTATCGAAAACCAAATTCCGATGGGAGTAGAATGAGGCGCACTCGGTTAGAGTCCTTTGGGCCGTGGTGGAGTTTGTTAGGCAGTTTCGATCGAGTGGTGTGGCGGGCCCACGTGCGTAGATTGGGATAAGGCCTTGAAAGTAATTTCTCGACATGTCTATGAAGCTAAAACTTGTGATCAATGGGGTTATATGACCATAAAACGAATTGCTCGATATGTTTACTACTAATGAGGTACTACTACTTGCATTACTACTAATTCGCGGGCTGCCAATGGGAAGTGTTCCGGTGAAGTTATTAACAGACACGTCGAGATATTGCAATTCCGGCAATGACCAAAGCTCGTCTGAAGGAGTGAAAGTTTACCAACAAACTATTACAGCTCAAAATATGGGGAAAAACCGAAAAAAGGAAATGCAATCAAGAAAAGGAAAGAAATAACACACCAGGCAGCTGGCCGGAGAGCATATTCTGCGAGAGATGGAGCACATTGAGACTGGTTAATCGAGCTAAGCTCGACGGAATTACGCCGGTGAGGTTGTTGTGAGACAGATACAGTTCGACTAAGCCGCTTAAATTCCCGATGGTGGCCGGGAGAGAGCCGTTAATGGAGCAAGACCTTAGATCGAGCACCTGGAGTGCGTCGAGCTGCAGGCCGAGCCAATCGGGGATCGGCCCTGGAAGCGCGAAATTCGAGGCGTTGAATGTGGACAAACGTGTCAGATTCCGGAGGGCGTTGATAGAGAATCGAGGGTTCTGGCGGCCCCTTCTCGTGCGCCTGAAGCCGGAGATGTTGATTCCTGTGACCCTGCCGCCGGAGCAGCGGATTCCCACCCACGACGCGCACGGGTCGGATCTAATGGGCCATTCCCTGGCCCGTAACCCTAACGAGGATCGCAACTGGAGCAAAGAGAGCCGCTCTTGACCGGAAATTGGAATTCGCTGCTCTAGTGAGCAGCCCAACAGGAAGAAGAACAAAGCTGAGGAAATGAAAACGGCCCTGCTCCTTCGATCCGCCATTTTTTTTTCTGGTCAAGCTTCATCGAGCTTCAGGGGAACCAAATGGGCCCTCGATTTCATGTCCAGTTGTTTGGGATTTAGGGACTGTTTGTGTCAGCATTCGCGGCGGCATATGTTGTTGTGCGGAGAAAAAGAGGAAAAGCTATAATGATGGAAGCTTTTTATTTTCTCTATCAAAAAAATCTCCTGACTTTCTCTCTCCTAAATTTTCCGGTCGACGGCGAAGAGAGAGAGAAATGGGGACTTCGCAGAAAAAGTCAAGAAAAATGGGTTTTAGGTGGGGAGTAAGAGAAATTAAAAAATGGGGGCGAAAATTTTTAGCAGAATAGTCATTGATGCTCACTGTAGACAAAAGCCTCTCTATCTGAAAAAGGTAATAAAATTGTAGAAATATAAACCCGAACAGTGGCAACTGGCAAGCTTTCTGGATTTTCCTAATTAAATTTTCCTTTCTTAAAAAAAAAAAAAAAAAACTTTTTTCCTGATTCAAAAAATATATGTTTTCGCCGGAGGGTGACGTCGGGATGCGCCGCCGTGCTTTCACTTTCACAGAAAGTATTTATTATTTAATGGGATTCCGGTGAAGTTCACCGCTGACCGCCGGTCTGCCGGGACCAGCTCATATTAAGTATTTTGTCCTTATTCGGTACATTGTACCTCTGAATCCATTGATACTTGTAGCAAAAAATTATTTACACGGATTAAAATTTGATTAAAATCTAAAATAATAATTCTGACGATGAAATATTATATTTGAAATTACTTCGTTTATTGTAATTAATGAATTAAAGGACATGTAATTATATGGATTAAAAAAAACAAGAGACAAACGTGGAAATTACAAAATTGTAAAAAAATATTCATGCGCGTCCAAAGTTGTTATTTGTTAGCAATAACTATATATATAGAGCCCATAATGCAAATACTTCTAGCTCTTCTAATTGTTAAGACCTAGGAATGTTGATATAATTCAAAATGGGTATTTTTTTTTTTATTTTTTTTAGCAGAGTTAAAAAATTATTTATCAGGGCAATTAAACTTGCACAAAACTATTATCTCTTGCATTTACTGGTTGTAATTTCACAGCTGTTACATCAGAGAAATTGGGTGGAATTTTATTGAAGACATGATAATGTTTAGTGCACTGAATATTCAGTAGCATAGTCACTCATGCATACATACATGCTAAAATTAAATTCCCTATTTAAATGAGTGTTTCAAGGGATTTGATGGTATTAAATGCAGTTTCTTATTGGTTGATTAAATCATCTATCAAACACATTTTTTTTAAAAAAAAAATATCNAAATTAGAATGAATATTTAATTATTCAGATGCCCTCTCCAAATATTAGTCTATTAGTATGCGTGTATTAATTTGTCCTAGCTTTCATCCAAAAAAAAAAATTGTCCTAGCTTGCTAGAATATGTACGAGTTTTGTTACAATCATGGATTCATAATTGGAAATTAAAAACTGTCATTATTATATATTATCTCACTTTGTAACTGGTTTCTTCTAGTTTATATATATGTAGTAACTATTGCTGAAGTTGAGCTTAATTACCAAACATCAATTATAATTACCTGTGGATTTTGTAAATTAAATCCAATTTTTTGAAATTTTTATACGATTTGGATTGTTTCTGTTTAAACTGCCTGGGTCTGAAAGACTTTAAAAATGTATGAACTTGGTTGTGTAATTTTTGCTATTCAACATCCCGTTGTTTGTTGGTCAACGTTTCGAACCGGTGGTTTGTCAGTCCGATTATGTACATTAATTAAAATAAAATTAGAAAGTAAANATTCAAAAAATGATTGAGGGGCAGCAAAATATATATATATATATACAAGGAAAAAAAAAAGTGGAGATAATAATTTTATCCCTTCTGAATTATTCGAAAGTTTGACATTTTGTAATCCAAAACCGCCATTTTGACCATGTGAAACCGGCTTTGAGCCGTCTAAACTTGATTTAGGGAGGCAATTTGAGAAATTTGCATATATTAGGAGTTAATTAGTCAACTCTAATTGAATGAGTGGCAATATTATATATATATATATATATATATATTGGAAGAAAAAATAAAAGGATTATTATAAGCATCATCATAAAGAAATAAAATTTTGTTAATATCGAATCTGAAAGGCGAACATATCTTTTATTTTTTTAATACAAATTTGCAAATGTTAATGATATTTAAGTAACCTTAAAGAATAGAAATTAAATTTCTAAACAAACATTATTTTCTAACAGAAATAATATTGTACCATTTACAATGATTTGCATGAAATTAAAAAACAAAAAAGTGTCCTAATCTATTTGGACGTGTGACACAATATATAGCTATATATTTCATGAAAACACGACCAATTCCTAATTTACTATCATCAGTTAATTAATAATATTAGTCTCACAAATCCACACACTTGCAAATGGAGTTTGTTTTCAAACTTTGTGGCCTTTAAATCTTTAACTGTATCTATATATATATATATATATATTAAAGCGGAGCAGCTGAAAAAAAATATTGTTTTCTCTCCAAAATTTCATTTAATAGATTGAATTAAATTTTGTCAAAATTTATGCATGATATATCATTAAAACAATAAGAAAAATACTTTGTTACATCTAAATAATTGTATTGGAATTTGCACTCCAATTTCTCTTGGCTAAATAAATGCTTCAACTACATCTATTACCATGAAATAAATATTGTTAATTTCTATGTATTATTTAACATTCAAAGGTAAATAAATATTGTTAATATATATACATCTATTACCATGAAATAAATAATGTTAATTTCTATGTATTGTTTACCATTCAAACAATATCATAATTCATAACTATATTAATTTTATTGTGAAATAAATATATATTAATTTCGATGTATTATTTACCATTCAAAGGTCATGTGAAGAAAGGTGTTCTGAACCAGTATTTTAAATACCGTACCGGTAGTCATACCAGTCTAGCCACCGGTACGCGGTATTACCGGTATGACCGGTAATATCGGTGGTATTACCGGACTAACAAATATAATGATATATATAAATATACATAAAAATATATAATACCAAATGCAAAAAAGTAAGAAAATAAATGACCATAATCATTAATTTCAACTTCTCAATGAGATAAAAATAAAACATTTAACTACCATATTAAATTTTATATTTTTAAATTATTTTTTTTTATTATTGACCGGTATTTTGGACCGGTATTTACGGTACGATTCCGGTACAAACCGGTGTAACCGTAAATCCGGTATTTTGAGTGTAATTATACCGTACCAATGGCCGGTATCCGGTATTACCGGCCGGTACGGTACGGTATTTAAATCATTGTTTGGAACATCAAACACTATATTAATTTTTTTGGTTATATTGAGAAATTTTAAAATGAAATAGAAAAAATCATAGCTAATGTGATATCCACATGTAATATAATAAATAAATATTTTAAATAATTTTTATTTTGGTATCTATACTGCATATATTTATATAAACTTTTAAATTTTACATGTCAATTTACGATTCTATGTCGTTTATTTAACACACAAATGTTCAAATGTTGACATATAATACAGTAGAACCATATTACATTTGACACATATACTCTATTATGATGGAATTTACGTATAAGTTAAAAAAATATGTAATCATTTCTTATTAATCTAACATTATATCATTTTATATTTTTATGTAATCCACATATATACATATATAATTGGACAAGCTTGGAGGAAATAATTTTCCCTCCAAAACTAAATTTAATACATTAAAATAAATTTTATTAATTTCAATGCATGATTTAACAATAAAAAAAAAAAAATGTTACACAGAAATAATTATTTTGTATTCATGATTGTATTGGAATTTGCATTTTAACTTCCCTTGCTAAATAAATGCCTCAACTACATATATTACTGTTGATATCAAGATAGAATATCTTGAT